TCAGAATCTATACTTTATGACAAAAGTTTCCACTGTTTCCTTTAAAGCAAGGCGCCTAAGACCATTTTGCCGTAAGGTACCCTGTTTTGTTGACAGTAACCTTAACCAAGAAATTAATCTCCTCCAGTAGTAGATATGAGTGTAATAGAAAATGTCCTCAGCTTTGGAAATATCTTTGCAAAGATCATCAACAAGAAAAACCTCCCAAATGAACTTTTTTCATAAAAGCGTTATAATTGATGGCCTTCAAGGAAAGCATTTTAGACGTTATTCTGTTTATAAAACTCTATCTGGTTGTCACTTCTCCCTGAATTTAGGCTGAATCTGTAGAAATGTATTGTTCAACATCAGTCGCCAGAAAAAATTTTGAAGTGAAAACGAATTGATAGGTCAAATAATTGCCAAAAAGCTTACCTTATCTCAGGCAATTTTCTTCTAGAGTCCTCGGGTTCTATATTTTTTTCCGGCGATAATGTTCAGAATCGAAAGAGGCGTTTGCACTGTTAAATTGTCATTTTATAGGCTTTGTTCAGCTGCTCAGTAGGAAAATCATGGATCGTGAGCTGAACAAATTAATCATTTCCTACGTAATGAATTTGATTTGATCCAAATAAACATCGAGCAATGATGGTGTTCCTCATCAGGTGGCAAAATAATTTAAGGTTGAAAGTAATTTGACAGTAAATCAGTATCAGAGCATGCCTTAAGCACTTTCACAAGATGTAAGACGATTGCGAGGCACAAATTTCGCATGATCTGGAAATCGCTATGTATTAATGTAATGATGTACCACCACATGACATTTTCTCGTTCTCATAGATTACGAAAAAAAAACCAGACAAATGGATTGGCACACTCAACCTTCTTCTTATAGGACTTCATTTCTGGTCTCTTATTGTTTTCGCAAACTCCTACGCTTGACATTCGCATCCCCTAATTTTTTTTTAATGTTTATATTGTTAAATTAGTCTTTGTGCTATAAGTATAGGTCTTACTTAAGATATGTATTTCTATATAAATGCTTCAGCTAATCTAAATTAGTTTATATTACAGGAAAATTCATTAATAATTGCACGCAAAAACCGATATCGCACGAATCGCGAAGTGACGATTGCAATATCGGTTTTCAAGTGCTATTTAACTCGGAATTCAAGAGTCAGGCAACGTATTTTCCTTGAATCGCAAAATTGAATATATATATAAAAAAAAGGATGACATAGTTTGTTTTCATACTAAGCGCAAAACAGGAGATGCAAAACAATATCACTTGGTCTCGTTTTCAACTCGCAATTCCACGCTGGATACCGCGCTTCGTTAATCAATCAGATTTTAATTAATTATGCGATTCTTTGGTAAATAGGGGTAACCTAACCAGTCCAGCTGTTAACCCCTCAGTTGCTATTAGTGATAGGTATCTTATTTTCTCCTAACAACATCACCTCTAATTCAAACATTAAGGTCTCGAGATTAAAGGAAATGATCACTAATTGAGAACCTTTAACTGAGAAACAAATTCTCGCTGTCAGTGCCATGGGAAATATATCTTGAGAACAGTATACAGAAGATGCATAATGATATTAAGATGCAAAGGGTAAAGCTATTTTTTTAATGAGCAGCTGCAGCTACTGCCTGTATGTTTTATCTACATAATGGGATATTGTGGAATTGCAAAATAAAGTTGAAGTCACTAAGACTCTACTCTCTTACTTTTATTATTCCTTTGACGAAAACGGAACCAAGCGAATAGAAAGAAAACATAAAGCGAAGTGACAGAAGCGATCAAAGCGAAACAAAGCGCTAAATTAAACAGCGATCGCGACTTAAACACTCAGAAGCAAACCCGAACTAAAATTAAATGGACACGAACTAACTTTGAACTACCACAAAACTAATCCTGAACTGACGCACAACTATACCAAGTGAAATAACTAAATTGGTTATACAAACCCAAGTGAACAAAACAAAACAAAATCTTACTAATGAAACAAAAGAAGCACGTAATATAAGAACAAAAAAAAATCATACGAATGAAACAAAAGAAGCACGTAATATAAGAATAATTCAGAAAGCTATTTCATATAAAACAAAAACGAAAACCACGAAAAAAGACAATTGCGTAATAACTTATATTATTTTTTTCTCAGCTCGTGAGCGGGCGGAATTCTACAAATCCTGCAATCTGATTGGTTCCGAGAGCGGGCAGTATTCACCCCTTCCGGCAACGCTCATAGCGGGCGGTATCCGTTTCGCTTGGGTGACTTTGCAGAACATCTCAAGCTTCGTTGCAATTTTTTCACAAATATATCTCATTTTGCCGACCGGCAGAATTTTGGAGCAAAGACTTTGGTCACGACCTTCTGGTGATAATTTTTAATTCTTTCGTCTCTCTCGCTCTCAAATCACTTTGGTTTTTCCGTAAAAACTGATTTCGAAATAAATTTGATGGTACTGAATTTGTTTTGAAAACATTGAAACGCGACCTAAAACAATTTGTTATTTAATAATCCTTCCCAAAAAGTAACTCAAAGGCCGTTTAGACGGCAGAAAATCGGGTACAGATTTGTCAAAAAAGGAGTATGGACCTGACATTTTTGCCCGTGTAAACAATCCGTACCATGTTTTGGGGGATAGGTACGGACCCGTGTTTTTTCTTGTTTTGGGGCCATAGGTGCCCCAAAAGAATGCAGTGTAAACGCAACCTTGCTAACTTGGTCCTCATGCCTCTTTTTGTCCGACCCGTGATAAAACATCATCCGTGTGAACGGCTAAAATTATGTGGTCCGTTCTATTTTTTTGACACGTCCGTACTCGATTTTTCTGCCGGGTAAACGGCCTTTCAGAAAGTTAAAAGGAGAGGTAGTTGCAGTTAACAATTACGTTAATCAATGTGACTCTCCCTCGTTAATATCTGAATTCTTCCTTCTTCCACATAGTTCGTGGGCATCGAGTTATTAAAGGATTGACTGATCAAGGTGACAAGATGGCGGGCCGTGGTAGAGTTCCTACCACTTTTAATAATCTGAGCCTTCTTATCACACTTATTCTGGTATTTAGCTCCATTGACATCTCTAAGAAAACTTCAATAAGCACTGGATCAGTTGTCTACTGCGAATATTCATGTACTTTAAGGAATATTTTCACTAGGAAGGCTGCGTGTGTGAGAACGAGAACGAGGTATCTCGGAGCCAAACTGAGCTACTACCCGAATAGCGACTCTTGCCTTCAACTGGCAAGAATTGCCATCAGTGGAGACGTTTAAAAAAATCCCGGACCTACAGTGGAAAGAAAGAGAAGCGGAGAGAACCTACTAAAAGTGTGTGCACCGGCTGCGGCAAAACTATAAGAAAGAACCAAAATGGCGTGCTGTGCTCTGGTTGTACTGGCCTTTTCCACTTAAAGTGCACTGGCATGAATAGAAAGAAATTGAACAGCTACCGTAGGAACGGCACATGGCTTTCATTTACCTGCTGTATACCTCAGTTTACAGACAGCTTTTTTGAGGATTCGGTGAACAAAAATGTACTGAGTGTTATGAGTGATGACGATTCGATACCTGACTCATTGGAATGGTTTTCAGGGAATATAAGCAGCTACTATAATTCCAACATTAAAATCGCTCATCTGAATATTAACTCCATTCAAAACAAGCTCGATGAGATTAAAGAAATGTTGAACCGGAATATGTTTGATATTCTATTTATTGGCGAAACTAAGCTGGACGGATCGTATTCCTCTAGTTTACTCTATCACCCAGGATACCGGATTGTACGACGAGATCGGAAAAAAGGTGCAGGTGGATTAATGGCGTTCATACGGGAAGACTTGTCTGCCTACAGGCGTCAAAAATTAGAGCCGGAGTCGGTCGAGGAAATATGTTTAGATGTTACGGATTTTAGAAAGTGCCGTTTAATTGTCTGTGCATGCTACAGATCCGAGAATGTCAACAAGCCTGCAGAATTTATATCTTCGCTGAGTTCTGCAATCGAACTGATGTTTAGGTGCCGCCAAGAGATAATTTTAATAGGAGATTACAATTTGGACATGCTTGTTAATGAAGATGAAGGAAGAAGGAAAAACAAGGCACTCAGGGATTTGTGCGACAGGTTTTGTTTATTCAAACAAATTACCGAACCTACGAGAATTACGGAGAAAAGCCAATCATTGATAGATGTTATCTTGGCCAGTCATCCTGAACGTTTCGCCACCAATGGCAACTTGCATCTTGGAGTTAGTTATCATGATTTAGTATTCGCCACCAGTGGCAACTTGCATCTTGGAGTTAGTGATCATGATTTAGTATTCGCAGTCAGGAAACAGAAAACTCCAAGACCAACCGCACGCGAGATTGAATATAGAAGTATGAAAAATTAGGATGAAAAGGAAGTTCTAGAAGAACTAACGAGGGTCCCTTGGGACTCGGTGTAACTTTTGAAGATGTTGATGACCTATGGGATCACTGGGCGAAGCTTTACTGCAAGGTGTTGGACAGACACGCTCCTCTAAAGAAAAAGTGGATCAGAGGTGACCAGCTGCCGTGGATCACTCCTGAATTACAACGTGAAATTTCTCGGCGAAGTCGACTGTTCAAGAAATACGCTCGAAATCCAACTGATTCTTCTTGGGAAGAATACCGTAAACAGAGAAACAAAGTAACTTTATTAAAAAGGAAAGGGGTGAAGTCGTTTTGTGTTGATGCTTCCTTGAATAAAAAGCATCATGGAGAATTTTGGAGGAAAGTGAAACCGCGTCTACCAAGTAAGGGGAAGACCCAGTCCAAGATCGTTTTGCAGGAGAACGAGCAATTGATTACGGACCCCAGGTTTGTTGCTGAGATATTTAATGATTATTCTTGTGACGCAACAACAAGTGACGGCGCTCAGATGAGTGTGGATGAATTAACAGATCACCCTAGCGTCAAGAGGATTCCTGAACATTTCGGACATGCTAGCAACTTTGATTTTCAGCTGATAGAGGCGGAATATTTGAAGGACATACTGCTGAAGCTTAGTCCAAGGAAAGCTGTAGGATGCGATAACATATCGCAAAGATTATTGCGTATCACAGCTCCCGCCGTTGCACAGCCACTGAAATGTTTGATTAACTATTTTATAACAAGTTGCAGTTGGCCTATGGTTTGGAATGTGTAGCAATGTTTCCCCCATATATAAGAATTCGGAAGAGACCGACAAGGCTAACTATCGGCCATTTTCACTATTGACTGCTTTTTCCAAAGTTTTTGAAAGAGTCATGTTTGATCAGATGTGCGAGGCCTTTCGATGCAAGCTGTCTCATAATATATCTGGTTATTTAAGGGGACACTCTTGCTGTTCAGCTCTACTTAAGATGACTGAGGATTGGAGGGCGAGGATTGGAGGGCGAGGATTGGAGGGCGAGGATTGGAGGGCGAGTCTCGATAGGCGAGAAGCTGTCGTTGCAGTCGCGGTTGATCTTAGCAAGGCTTTCGACTCAGTGTGTATTTCACTTCTTCTAGCTAAATTGACGGCCTATGGTTTTTCAGAGAGGACATTACAACTCATGACTGCATATTTGTGTGAGAGGAAACAACGTGTTAAACTTGGCAATACTTATTCTCAGTGGAGAACTGTTAGAACTGGGGTCCCTCAGGGGTCCCTCAGGGGTCCCTCAGGGAAGCCTTTTAGCGGTCCTCTGTTGTTTAACATATATATGAATGATCTAAATTATTCTATTGAAGGCACCTCATTGCGATCATATGCCGATGACATAACTGCTTACGCCTCAGATACATCTCCTATTGTTTTACAATACATTATTAACTAAGATCTTCAAGTAGCGCGTACGTGGCTCCAACATAATTAGTTGCAAATCAATGTAACAGACCGAAGCGATGGCCATTGGCCCAGTAAATTATAGATATAATATTAATCTACAAGATGATAATGTAGAGCTGACTGATAGTCTGAAGATTCTTGGTGTCATTTTAGATGAAAGAATAACATTTAAGCCCTATATACAAGTACAACCTAAGAAGGCATGTGCTAAGGTAGCTGCCATGCGTAAGCTGCGTAAGTTTATACCACAAGATGTTATGACTCGCCTTTACAAAGCATATGTACTACCCCACTTAGAGTATTGTAGCCCACTCCTGCTAGGAATAAGTAATGGACTCAAAAACAAGTTAGAGGACACTAATTGCTACATCCTAAGGACTATCCTAGGGTATTCAAGCTCAGTGTTTTATGATTTTCTTCTTAATTTAGCTAAATTACAAAACTTAGAGACACGGAGGCAATTCCAGTCATTAGTTATTTTATATAAATGTTTAACAGGACAGGGACCGGAATATCTTAGTAAGTTTTTTAACGTTTTAAATGTAAATTACAACCTAAGGGGGTCTGGCACACGCCTTAAGCTGCCATCGTTCAACTTAGAATACATGCACAAGTCATGGTCATATTTAACTACTAAGCTTTGGAATGGTTTGCCTACTAGAGTTAGGGAATGTCCGGACTTGGCTGCCTTTAGGCGCGGCAACNAAATCCACTTCTCTAATGCACTTTTGGAAACTTGACAAACTTTGTAAAAAAAAACCTAGATAAGGAAAGAATAGGAAAAAACATGAAAAATTAAAATAGAAGAATAACTAACAAGCGACTTAAGGTGATTGGAGACGCCATATGACTTACATGAAGTCACCGAACCTCTCACCTTTCCGAAAACCCGATTTCTAGTCGTAGTACATTCGGTCCCAAGCTCCTGTTCTCCTTTCCCCGTTTCCAGTTCTCTATTTTCTGTTTCGTATTGTCAGTTCCCCGTTCTCTGTTCAGTGTTCCTTTTCATCGTTCCCCGTTCTATTCTCTAAGATAAAGGGAAAGAAAGCGAGACAAACAAATGGGAAAAATTCGCCATCTTCTCGTGGGGGTCGGACTTCGTTGCTGGACGGTTGTTGTTTTATTAAACTCGCAAGCTTGACATTCGTATCCACTCGCGGGAGAAAATGGAGCCCATTTCATATTTATTCATTGAATTTTATTCATTTATTTACTTATTAATTCATTTATAATACTCATCTACCTATTTCCTATCTTTTTTACTTCATTTTGTACCATTGTTTTATCGTTAGATGATGTGTACTGTATCAGTCTTAATCAAGAAATAACCAATTAGGCAATCACTACCTTTTCCTGATTTTGTGTACATCCAAAAGATAAATAGCGGGTTCCTAGCTCACCCAGCAGTCCTGTCGTTCTAAACTCCTTAAACCGGCTAAAAGACTGACATCTTATTTCTTCTGACAGTATCACCCTGAATAAAATATTAAGGTCACGAAAACAAAAGGAAATGATCATCAACTTAACAACAAACAAGCCTACGAAGAACTCAACTTAAGAACCCTTGATTCAGTAAATGGCTTGAATTCGGGGGTAACATGTGAAAGTGTAGTGTTATCGTCCGGGTGAGTGTAGTCCGAAAACTTCAGTGAGAAAACAGCGTTTCTGGAGCCAATGGGAATAAAGCGATATAAAGTGAGTTCGAAGGGGAACGGTCATAAACGGTCAATTTTCTATGGTCTTCACTTTAGACTCTGTTGTTGACCAATGATCCCCCCTCCATTCCCCCTGAAAACCATAGAATTCCCTAAAGATAACTTCCCCTCCCCCTCCCCCATGCGAAAAATAATGACTGATCGCTAACACAGTCATGATTAATTCAAGTTCTACCCTTTTCTTTTTTCCATTTTTTCTTTTTTTTTCTTTTCTTTTTTTTTTTTTTAAGGGGAGAAGGAGGGAAGAGATTTAGAGCAGAGATTGGAGAGTTTAGAGCAGACTCCCTATTGAAACTTGTTTTCACAGAACGAGCGCAGATAAATATCCAGACCAGTGCTACTGTTCAAATATGGGGGTTAATCTCACGGAGGGTAATCATTTGAACACGTCTTTGCGGCTGAGGTCGATGGCGACACAATATCATCAAAGCTAGCCTAAAATCTGGCATTCTCATAATATATAGTATCGGATTAAAAAGAGAGTTTGTAAAGACCTGGAAAATTGTACCGTAATGTAAACGGAAAAAAGCTATTTCAGACAGCCAACTTAAAATGTCAGTGGCAAAATACAGAAAAGTGGTTATAGCATAAGGCAGCCACAGTAGTAGAGAGAAAAAATCGCAATAAACAATGTCATGGCCAGTTTCCTTTCCCTATTGGCCGCCCTATGATGTCGGGGCTGATTTCTACAGCGAACTTTAACACAAATAGAAATGTAAGATACACAGATGACAAGAAGACAAATTGAAATGAATGAACTCCAAGAAAAGAAACGATAAGCTTGCTTAACTGTATATTGGTGTATTATTGTTAATGCACATGAAAAAAGCAATGCTGTCGGCGATTATGAGAATCCAGTAGACCGACTTTGTGGCAATATGATGTCTGAAGGGCAGAAACGTTGCAATCAGACACTCTACAGAAATTGTAGTCATGTGTTTTTAACGAACAAAGGGAAAATCACTGGAGAAGAGCCTGAAGTGTTAACCAAAATGCTTCACTGAACCTCCAAAAATCACATATCTCTCCAAAGTTATAGAAGAGTTCGCATGCTGAAATTCCCCCAGATAACATATCTGCAACAGCAAGATTTATCACCAATTACATGGCCCGTTTACGAAGACTACAGTCCTTTAAAAAGGCAGCCACTGTTAAGGCATTCAGTGTCACTATGGTGACAGATTCAGTCAGGCCCACCACCATCCAGGTTATACATCCCGATGAAGAAACCATATGAGAGCCCCTTTTCTGTCCAAAATATAACTCTCCATAATC